AGACAACTTGTCGACCTTCTCGTCAGTGACATGAGTGAAACACATGGGTATGTTGTATCCCTCAGTTAATACTCAAAAGTTCCTTCTTACAAGTGGAAGGATATTTACTCAAAATAAAATGAAAATCACTTGAAAGACCTTTCACAATAATCACGTAACAATTCAGTTTCTCTCAGCACTGTTATTGATTCCCCATTGTAAGATAAATAGTACTGATCTCTTTCATAAATGACCTAGGTAGATGTTCTCCTGTAGATTATCTCTTGGTTAGGTCCCCGTGAAAATATGTACTTGTAGATACTATTAATTTAGCCTTTTTATGTAACCATGAAGTCCCTTGACCATGAGTGTTTTTTTCTCCTTAGACAAATGCCTTCCCGAAAACAAAAAAAGCTATGCTCTTAGAATTATCACACTTTTTTCATTGAAGGATCCATTTTCTCAAAAAGGTTATGTAAGTATTGTTAATGTATCCATGGAAATTGAATTTGGTTTACCTACACGTTTTGTGTAGATAATGGATATGTATAGATAACAATCATAACTGTACACTTTGTTTTCAGACTGATCTCGCCTCGTAATGAGACGGTGACCTCCTATTTGCTTAACACAATATCTGCAATACAATGTGAACAATAAGTCCACATTTCCACGATGTTGATAAAGACGACATTGTGTGTAATTAATAGTTACTTAATGTAACTTAAGTTCTACGAATAGGTGTGTAGTCCCTTAGGACTTCGCTTGTCATGGTGTGGATTTTGATTTTGTATTTAGCTTTTATTTTGAAATAAGTTCTTGGTTTTGTTTCAGTTTGACTTCCGGTCCTGTTTTCCCCTGTCTTGATTGTCTGCCCCGCCCTGATGTGTTTCACCTGTGTCTGTGTCTATATGTACCCTTTGCTTCTCTCCCCTTGTTGCTGCTTCATTGTTTTGTCATGTTCTGTCCTGGTTACTTTGGATTTCTGGAGTTTGTTTTTTTGCCTTGGACTTTGTTTTATTAAAAGCTTTATTTTGGCACTCCTGCATTTGAGTCCTCCATCATCTCACCCCGTGACATCGCTAGTGGGATATCACTCGTGACCCCCAGGTCACACGCCAGAGAGATCAAAATATTCCGTCATGCATATTTCTGTATCTGTTGGCGATGCTTTGGTGTACAATGTAATGTTACGCTCTTCAACGCCTGCTTTATCTTTAGCTTTATCTTCAGTTATATTCACATTCTCACCTTTGTGTGGACAATCTCTGGCCCAATGAAACGTGCTTTGACACACTGCACACTTTGATCGGCGTCCGAACTTGTCCAACGGGTTCGTACTGGGTTGTGGAGTTCTGGGTCTGTCGCTTTGTTGCCAGGCCTTTATCCCGCCGATGCTGCTCCGTTTGATCCAAAAAAGCAAACACAGACTCTTGACTGATTCCCTCTGATGCAGCACTCATTTTACCGCTAAATATCCTCTTCAAAGCAGACTTCATCGAGGCGAATGTAAGATCTGTGCATGCTGTTAAACCCAGCTGCCTGTCAGTCCCATCTAAGCACGCAGTGTCCAACAGCTTAAAAGCTAAAACTGCGTCAGGTAGCTCCATTTTGTGTTTGCGCATACGTGAATACCGCTGTTCAAAATCAATAATATAATCCGTCATGGACACAATTTCATGTTTAACAATGCGGTCAAAATCAGTGTATGCCTCGTAAATACGGTCTTTTTCTTCTTTGAGGAACAAACTGTCAAGTTTATCCAGCAAAGTTTTCATTCCTGTGTCATTTAATTCGTCTACCGGTATTTCCATTGCAGTCTCCCGTGCTCTTCCCAACAGCGACAAAGCAACAGCGAGGGCTTGTTTTTTCTTTTCCAAGTCCGTGACTCTGGCCCAAATGCCGACTTCATTTTTCCAGCTTTCGTAGAGTTTCCCCTCTTCTAACGGGGGTGGAACTCTGTAGTTACAAGCCATCCTCTGCTACCATGTTAAATCAAGATAAACTCCACTTGTAGTTTGTTACATTTATTTCAGTCAACCATGCAGGTTCAACATAAAACCTGCCTCTCACGGTCTGCATAGAAAAAAAACATATATAATATACATACATAATATATAAACATAATATACAAGTGTCATAGTGAAGAGCCAGATTACATTGTGTAATATTCATACTTTTTGTTGAGTTGCAATGATGATCCACAAGTGCTTTTGAGAGTTTGTATGTATCTGAGCCTGGCAGACTTATGTTTCCTCCAGTCTCTCAATAGTGGCATTTTCCATTAAGGTTAATGTTAAAGTAACATTAGCTGATAAACGCCACGTCACCCAGGCGGGTGATAGTTCTGAAGGTAGTTGGCAGCTAAGCAGCTAAAACATGTTAAGGTAATACATCTAACTTGTCTTTCAAAAACATTTTGTTTTACTCAACAAGACAAAATTGACCTTTTGAATCACACATTTATGTTACAGGAATTCATGGGATTGACCATAATTTCATTTTGAGCAGTTTCCAAGATCCAGTCTGATAATTAAACGTATTCATCACTTCTATCCCATAAACAGGAAGTTATACTCACTTGCGGTCAAGTCGATTATTATGTAATGATATTAATAGTTGGACTTTCTACCTTTCGTGACTTTTGCAATACATCAAAATACACATTTGAAATTCCTGATGGACAGAATATCACTGCTCTGCTGCCATCATAATATCACCTTCTAATTAATTAAAAAAACAGAAATAATTTATGCATATTATACGAAAAAGATTCATATTCTCAAACATTATTTAAGTTTGTAGTCCTGGACAAAATAGTGAGTTCAGCTTGATGCAGCAGAGTGTTTGGCGTTCACTCACCTCCTGGCAAACACTGACCAGTTGTTATCACCGCTAGGTTTCTCCAGTCAGAGCTTCCCAGGCCTGAAGCTCTCCGATGCAGTATTTATAATCGATCCATGTGCAGCGCACTCTGCCAGACTTCACAGCTTCAATGACTCAGTGGGTCCAAAGTCAGTACCTAAAAAAATACATTCAACAGAAATAACGTGATAAGATACATTTTCTGTGCACTCAAGGCTGAATTATAATTACAATAACATTTTACTTCATTTGTCTTCTTTAGTTCATACTGAGAGAGGTGATTTGCCTCAGGATAAACTTTACGGGAAAAGAAAAACGTTAACGAAAGCGTTACATAACTAATGCAGAATGTTAACTAAATTAGCGTTAGCTAACCAAACAAGTGTTATACCTTAATATATACAGTCTATGGTTATACCTTAGTTTATATGCTTCTTTTAATCATGGATGTCATCTACGCGCCATCGTTGTCAGAAGGCTACGAAGGCTAGCTCGGTCGCAAACCATAGTGCCTCATTTTATTATGTAATCATATTTTACTATTATTAATATGTATTTTACATTATGTATTATATGTACGGCAGAGCATTATTGTCTCATAAAAAATAAAACAAAAACAAAGCAAGATACAAGATATCATAAACATATGATAGGTCTACGCAAGCGGCCATGCATGCATAGACCATGGGCATAGACCATGAGCATAGACCATGGGCATAGACCATGGGCATAGACCATGGGCATAGACCATGGGCATAGACCATGGGCATAGACCATGGGCGACTGGGCGTAGACAGTCTATGGCGTAGACATATCATATGTCCGGTCCGAGATGGCGGCCAATGCGGCGTCTACTCTTTAAATGCTACCGCTGGCGGAGCAGCAGCCTGGCCTTAGCAATCCGTACACTCCGCTCATCATTCCTTAGTACAAAATGTAATTTGTACTGTGGTGTGGTACGACCAGGCTAGTGGAGCATTAGCCATTTATTAAAAAATCATGGTAAACTGTGGTGACATTTTGGTTTCACGTCATGGGTTCCACTTATGGATCTATCAGTTTCGGGTTCCACTTGTTCCACTCCCTATCCCCAGTCGAGCCCTTTACAGTCTGTGACATGGTCACATCGCTCGAGAGCCGCTAGTTTACTTTGTTTATCGATGTATTTATTTGTTCACAAACATCAGTTAAATCTACGTCGTTTACACTTAGACATGAAGATCTGTGAAGGGACTGCCAAGAAGCACAGCCTATCCCTATGCTGTGCATATAGGTTACCTCCACCAGAGGGCACAAAAGGGGTCACAGCTTCATTGTGATTGCGTCTTCACTTCATTCACTTGTGATATTTAGTCTGGTGTAATAAGGCAGGCAAGGGCTTTGCCTTGCATTGACGATATAATTTCACTGCTCACTACAAAGAGTTCCAAACCGTTAAACATCTCACATCTCACCTTTAATTAAGACTTCAAATACAATTCAAATAGGCAAACACACAGCAGGGGTTCATTAAGTCCTTTAATGTTGTATTGATAGGTGCAGTGAAAAATGCATTCAGTATATTAACTGTGGATGAAAACACAGCTAAACTGCAACACTACTTTTGAAAAGTAGTCACTCATACAACTTATGTCATAAAGTAATATACAGTTTTGCCAACAATAAAAAAGGTTTAATTCTCAACAAAATTATTACATTTTCCCAAATATAGCTGAACCAAGGTGGGGGTCCACAAAGAGTCCAGTGTGTGTGTGTGTGTGTATTTTTTTATACACAATAGCTTTTTAGCTCCAGATGTTGAACTTTATGGTTATGCTGTATATAAACTTGTATTAAGGCAACTGTGCAAGGAACTTTTAATTTCATGTGATTAGGTCCAGAAATTCCAAAAATATAAAATCTGGGGTACCTTTTTTGTAACCACAACAAATTGAACTATGTATTGAAATCCAACTTAACCCTCGCTTTCAAAACTAGGGCACACAAAATGTATTATTGGTAATTATGAAAAAAAAAAAAAACAATTAGGTACCCCAGTTTTAACCAGGTACACAAATTCAACAAATGACTTTACTTTATCTATTTGAGGCAATGATACAAAATATTGTCAATATTTTACAGGTTTTTTAAAAGTGTCATGTCGTATTATGGTATTTTTATTTTCCAATGATGACGTTTCTGTAGCCCTTGACGTGACACAGTTGGCTGCTGTCAAAATCCACCACGAGTTTCCTGAGTCCAGACCGCGACGGCGTGAAGTAGATCTTGGCTTTTGCTTCTTGTCCCGGCTCCACACAGTGCCCCAGGCTGAAAGAAAAGTTTAGATTAAAGATTCGCTGTTGTGTTGGGTGGAAACATCACAGTGGTTTCTATCGCTGGTGTTTTGTGTTTGTTGAAAATGAAGACTTCAATACAATATTTTACGAAAAAATCCTAAACATCAAATGTTAAGCAATTGTATCATCTATTTTCAAACCGCGAGAAGGCTCAGACAGTGTGGTCGTAATCATGTTATAGGTCAGTATCAGCCTTTTTTTACAACCGCAAAAACATCTTGTGTACAACATACACAAGAGTACTATAAAATTATTAATTTAAAGGCATATAGGAAGATTTTCTGCTTCCGGATGGATCATCAAGACTATTGGTTCTCCCAATTGTCAATCATTCTGATGATACGTGCTGGTCGAATAAGACCAGAAAGTGGAGAGGGCCGTTTTTTCCTAAAAAAAATGGGAAAATCTCCTTCATACCTTTACATAAGATAAGTATGTAAGTACAAAGATGAATGTAAAAAATAACAGGTCAAACAACAAAGATGAACAACAGGTCAATTATGTTAAGTTATATCATAGTGACACTTTGTCTCTGTTACTTCTACTGAGAGGTTCGCGTCGAGATGAAAGAAACAATTGTAAGTAAGTAAGTAAGTAAGCTTTATTTATATACCGCCTTTCACAGACCAGAGTCACAAAGCGGTTTACAATTGTTATTTTTGGGCACTTGTCCTCTCACTCCACACAAGGATGGGAGCGGGGAATTGGGCGCTAAAAGCATGTTAGCATGAGTTTAGCAGCACGCCATATGATAGCTCATGTTGTTCTCACCGCTCACAGATGACGCCGCCTCCAGTGAGGTTGGCTCCCTCGATGCTGAAGCAGCAGTTCTCCAGACGCTGTGGAAGAGGGTTCTTCAGAGTGATCTCTGCAGCCAGCTTACGATTCTCTTTGGGCTCGCCCAGGATCTGACAACAAATACATACAAACAAGGGTCTTACGTCACTTCTCTGACAGTAGAGAGCAGAGCTCTAGTCACTTTCAAGTGATGGGAAGAAAGTAGAAATACCCCAAGGATCCACATTCACATAGACTCAAGCCCTGGACATAGAACAGTTTTGGTCTTTGTTTTTCCGTCTATAACCATTTGATGAACTGGTGCTTTATTGACATTGAATTTTAAAGGTATACAAGAGGATTTTCTACTTCCGGGTGGATCATCAACACTATTGGTCCTCCCAAATGTCAATCATTCTGTTTATACGTCCTCGTCCAATAAGAGCAGAGAGTTTTGTTCAAAAAGTAGAAAGGGCGGTTCTTTCCTAAAATATGGGAAAATCCTCCTTTATACCTTTAAGAACTCATAATAGAATGAAATGCATAGTTCTGGGAAAAGTTCCTCTTTTATTCCCAAAATATACTAAGCAGGATATCAGTTCTGGCTGTATTCATATACAAACAGTTAAGGTAAATGCTCGTCCTTCTTCCGGCCTCGGTTACTCACCCGGACCTTGATCTCGGGATTATCCAGTACAATGGTCCTGGTGGTCATCAAAACCTGCCCTGTGCTGTGGTCCATGAGCAGAGCAGCCAATCGGATCAGATTATCCTCCGTCAGCTCAGAGCAGTACTTGGAGTAGTTCAGCTTCAACGGGACCCGCATCTCTGAAAAACAACCATGAGATGTTAAAGAACCAATGTTATAAATTATTTCTGTTAATTTTAGCCCTACTTCATCCATAGGCACTTCTCTGTGGACCTTCACCTAGAGCTAGCAGGTGAGCGTTGCCCATTCCTATATACAGTCTATGGTTCAGTTTTCGGTTAAAGTTTTAAGGGCTGCAAACATTTTTTTATTTTTTATTTGGCAATTCACTCACTTGGCTCACTAGTTCCTTCCACTGTGACGTAGGGGAAATACATATTCAATCAACTCAAATCAAATCAGTTTATGTACTAATGATAATTATTTATATTTTAGTCAAAATAAATCACAATTTTAGAAAAAGAGTGGACTTTACAACTCAAGATTGGAAGCTATAAAGCAATGAAACTGGGGAAAGCATCTTAGATTAGCATATTTACAGTCAATTATTAATTTTAAAGCAATGTCTTCATAATCTTGTGTCAACAATGTTTGAAAATAGCCATGTTGTGTCCAGTTTCAGACCTGCCAGTGTTTGCTGAGGTCTTTTGACTCTAAAGAGTTTTGAAGTGGGCAGAGCTTCAGGGTCCAAAAGTAATTTTTTTGATTCAGGACCGAAACAACTGGATCAGGAGAGGCGAGACTATGGAACGATTTCTAATTATGTGGAAAATGTTGTGAAAAATTTAGAAAATAGAATAAGTTCTAGACATGACACTGGACATGCTAAATCCTGTGTGAAAGCCATATCAACTTCTTTCCTGTTGTTACCTCCCCCTGGTGGCAGCTCCACATTCAGCAGGTCTTTGAAGCCGCAGTTTCCTCCCAGGACTCCGGTGTAACTGACAGCGCAGGAGCCAAACACCAGGCGACACGACTTTTCTGAGTGCGTCCCGTTTGTGACAAGTGCAAACACGTCAAAATCATAGCCCTTCTTCATGTCTGCAGATAATTTGATGGTCAGCTGCAGACCGCCCCCCTGCTCCGGCTGCTTGTTCAGTTTGTTTTGGTGTTCAGCCCTCTTAAACGCCTCCCTCTCCTCCTCTGAGCCTGGGAGCAAACAGGAAACAGAGTCCAGAAGTTACACACTTTTACTTTTCATTTGTTGCTTTCTTTTTCTATTCAATTAGCATCCATAAGACCAGGGGCACACTGGGTTCTCTGTGTGTCAGCTGACCACACTGACGCCTGCCCAAAACGACTGGTTTAGAACTCTGAACTTTATCAAATGTTATACATCATAAAAGTTATCTATGATGACAGTAGTAGCAGTAGTAACAGTAGTAGCAATAGTATTAGTAGTAGCAGTAGTATTAGGAGTAGCAGTAGCATTAGTAGTAGCAGTAGCCGGAGTATTAGTAGTAGCAGTAGTATTAGGAGTAGCAGTAGCATTAGTAGTAGCAGTAGCCGGAGTATTAGTAGTAGCACGGGCGGCACAGTGGCTGAGTGGATAGCACTCTCGCCTCTCAGCAAGAAGGTCCTTGGTTCGAATCCCGGCCGGACAAGGGCCTTTCTGAGTGGAGTTTGCATGTTCTCCCCGTGTCTGCGTAGGTTTCCTCCGGGTACTCCAGTTTCCCCTACCACTAAAAATATGTACAATAGGTCTGGCATGCGCCTCCTGTTCGGCGACCCCGCTCCCATCTCTGTGAGGAGTGAGAGGACAAGTGCCCCAAAAAAAAAAAAAATCATTAAAAAAAAATATATATATAATATAACAATTGTAAACCGCTTTGTGACTCTGGTCTGTGAAAGGCGGTATATAAATAAAGCTTACTTACTTACTTACTTACTAGTAGTAGTAGTAGCAGTAGTATTAGTAGTAGTAGTAGTAGCAGTAGTGAAATAACAAAACGTTTGAATAGGAATGGTAATGACAACTGGATCCTAGAACATCACTGGTCTTTAATGTGTCTTTAAAATATAATAAAGACACATATTTTTCTTAACTATTATTCAGAGAATTTTCTGAAGTTTGTAAGTTCTGACTGTGAATTGAATTGAATCAGTTGATATTCTGTAAAAGAAAGAAAATGTAAAAAGAGGAAGAAAAGATAAGTTTTACTTCTACCAACTCCTTTCCCAATTGTGTATATACGTACATGTTTTTAAAAAAAAAAAGTTTTATACAATGAATAATTCAAAATTTAAAGTAGTAGTAGCAGTATTAGTAGAAGTAATAGTTGCAGTAGTAGAAGTAATAGTAGCAGTAGTAGTAGCAGTTACTAGGGTTTAATCCCGGGATACGGGATTCCCGGGAAATCTGATGAAAACTATTTCCCGATTCCCGGGAAATGTTATGACGGGAAACGGGAAATGAAAGTAAAAAAAAAATACAGTGCGCTCCTATTATAAAGCACGTTTATTGTTGTTCAAAGTTCAAACATATTTCATTTACAATCAACATGTCTACAGCTGAGAGGATGGCTCCTAAATTGTGTTTTTGACAACAAATATGGGTCTTAATCGCGCTAAACCACGACTTGTAATGAGGCCAGGCTCAGGGTACGGGGCGCATGTGAGCCCAGAATTTGGTTACGTCCAATTCTATCAGAAAGCTCCTTTCTTTTTTTCCATCTGCTAAGGGCAGCAACAGGTTTGGCTAACATACATATAACACACATTTAAAATCATATAAAATGCATTTAGGGTAATGTTCTGCTTACAATGACGATAGGAATGATAAGGAAGAGAGGAGAAGGGTAAGAAGGTTGATATTAGAAATTGGATGCGCCCGAGAGCCGGCTGCAGCGAAAACACAGAGAAGTTTATGGAGGTGGCACCCGTTTTGTTTTACGCTTTAAAACTCTTTGGGCTTATTTCCAAATGGGGGATTACATATCTGCGCTCAAACTATTATCTGGACTTAAACATGAAACTGGTCTGAACTGAAGTGGTCTGTGCTGTTCATTAATAACTAAGGTAAGACCCATAACACAATTGGAAATGTGCCTTTTACGAACTTTTGCGTTTTGTTTGAGCAAACAATGCGGGCCATGGAAAACATTCTGCTGTAGCCAAACTAATTGTGAATAAGCCGCTCTGTAGGTTCTGTTGATTTATATGATATATGTTCATCTGACAGGGCTGAAGTCAGTGCCTCCAAACCACACCGCACGTCACTTTTCGACAAGTGGATTGCGCAGACATTTAGAATCTCATAATAGTGAAATTCCTGAAGAAAGCCCATCAACAAAACATCTGAAAACGCTATGGCTACTTTAGCAAAGCTAGCAAGTCACTTGGTGAAACACTAGTGGAGATGGCAGCTTTTGTTGGATTATATATTTGAGTGATATCATACATTACTTGGGCTAAAAACAACAGCTATTTCCCGGGATTTCCCGGGAAAGGCGTCGTCTTTTCCCGGGATTTGATACGTCTCATTTTCGGGAAAAATATTAAACCCTAGCAGTTACCCTCTGGATACTTGTACTGGTGTGTGATATCCTCGCGGTCGTCGCTGCAGACTCTCTTGGTGCTGATGTTCTGACCCACCACAGTCCTGTTGGTGACCTCCTTCTGGCTGCCGTCCTCTCTCATCATGATGGTGATCACGTCTGCGTTAACCTCCGCGAACACAAAGGGGGCGTCGTATTTTGACGTGAGCTCGCCCTCCTTTATGGCTTGCACCGGCACCGGCCCGCAGCAATACACCCCTAATGGAGGACAGCAAGGTTCCTTAAAGGTGTGGTCAACAACTTAAATGTTATTACCTTTTTAATAGAATATGTATTTCTGAGCATGGGCACTGGTGAGATAGATAGACAGAGTGACAGATAGATACTTTATTGATACCTCGTAGGAGAAAGTATACAGCAGGGTCTGAGGAGGATGATCCAGGTACATTGAGCATTGGTTAACCACAGACCTTTATGTAGTTTTTAGGCCCGAGCCCCAACCGGGGTAAGGGCCTATTGCTTTTCCAACGAGTAATGCCTGGGCGTTGTAACTGTCATAAGTCACAATTGTGACCTGCACGCGACGGCACGTGCCCAGACACTGATAAATCCGTGCGGAATGGCTTTGCTCCTGCTGTAGTACACAGTGAAATGATTGAGGTCCTATTTGTAGGGTAAATATTTATATATTATAGGGTAATAATATATAAATATGTTATGAGAAGAATAGTGCGGCTAGTCTTCAAATCAGAGTCTGGCCGTCCTATTCGAGTGGGGATCTGCTTTATATTTATTTAGGCACCAGCAGTGTATGACACACTGCGCAGATCCAAACCAACTTTGCCTCGAGTCAGTCTTATAAATCTAATAGGTAGTGAGTACTTTTATCGGCCAGGGATATTCCGAGATCTAACAACGCGACTCTGGAGGGGTTGAGTTAAAGAAAAGTATTTTATTGATTACAAAAATGAGGGTAAAAATATAACGAAAAGGGATTTCTGGTCACATTAAAAGCAGGAGTTGTACACATATCATTCAAATCATACATTTAACAGAGGAACAGTCTTACTTTGAAGGAGCGTAGAGGATGGAGAAAGGATTTGGGTTGGGGATCAGTCCACGTGGTTCCTTTGTCTGGGCAGGCGGGAGGTACAAAGCCAGCGAGTTGGTCCAGCTGCTGGTCCACGCGTATGCAGCTCAGTCCGGAATGGGTTGCACGCGTATAGTCCAGAGCCAAGGAAAGAGGCTGGTGATGAAATGGTTCGTAAGGTCCCGAGCCAGAGGAGAGTATGTTTGGCGGAGTAGAAGGCCCGATGCGTGCTGGCGCGACCGTAGTAGGAGACACGTGCCGCGGGACGCCGATGGCCAGGGAGGTTGCGATAGTGATTTCAGGAGAAGGCAAGAGAAAGTTTCTAGGTTTGCGGGTGCTTATATTGACTTCTGAAGGGGCGTGTCCATATCTTCCCTCTCTGTGGACAAACCCTTCACAACATATATTTTCAAAGGAAACACACAGGATTGGTGCAGATGATCATAACACATGTACAAACACACAGTGCATTTACATCACAGACATCAACACACGAGCAAGGTCCGTAACGTTATCGACATAATATTACAGAGTAATGTCCTTTTCGAGTTCCGCCTTGGGTGCAGTAGTGTCCAGTGTCCGCTAGGGGGCGCCAGAGCGCTGTGGGGGAATCTCAGGGTGTCCGGGGACAGGGATCCTGGGAGCGAGAGCAGGGTTGTGATCTTTGATCTCTGCAGGCAGGCAGAGACAGAGGTGCTTATCCCCGTGGTGACTTTATTGCTCTTCTTGGCATCTGTAATCCCCATGATCAATGATAGTCCTCCGGCCGACCTCGCTGTTCCTTTGAAGCTGCAGTGGGACGTCTTCCTCCTTTGGTCGAATGTGTACACAACAGGGCCTGGCTCTGTTTTACGGCCCTGTCCCTTATTTAACCTTACATATTAAAGGGGGGTTCTTTCAACTGTCTTACGGACGACCCGGACAGTCGTCCCCCAAGCCCGACGGCGCGTGCCCAGACACTGACAAAACAGTGCCGGAGGCACTGAATGGCTCTGCTCCTGCTGTAGTACACAGTGTAATGAATGGGGTCCTATGGGGGGGATGGGTGACGGCGAGGTGATTGACGAGCGCGTAAGTTTTTTTTGTCAGTGTCTGCGTAAGCGCTCGTCAATCACGAGAACCCAATAGTTGCGTTCGCCTCGTCGTTCGCTTTAAAACGACGTATCATTTGTATTATAGGTTACTATGGAAACCTATATTGTTTTTGCTCGAAGATTAACAAAAAAAAATTCTTGGTTTCTTTTTTTCTTCTGCGCTTTGAACCTTAATTTGACCCCCTGAACATTGATGAAAAGTTGTGAAATTTTGCCCAAAATTCAGAACCGGCGAAACATAATTTTTTTTTTGTATATTTTTATGGGACAAAAAAAATGTCCGAACAGCGCCCCCTAGAAAAGTCAGTTTACATTGCGCCTATGGGAGCGGGTCAGAGGTCAAGTTTGTTGTAGAGCCACGAAATTAGGTACACATGTTCCTCAAATCAAGACATGAAAAAAAAGTTATTATGGCTCCGCCCCTTGACAAACAGGGAGCTCATTAATTTCAATGGAAAATGGAAAAATGAAAATTGATATTTTTCACACATGTCGGTTGGAAATTATCTCCTCCTCGGCCGTTTCACCGATTTGTTTCAAAATCGCTCCACATGGTCTAAACCCATGTACCATCAATTATTGAATATAGAATTTGGATCAGTTAAACGTTGTCCGAGCAACGGAGTGGCAAAATGTGACTTTTTTTTTTTCAATTTTTGACAAAAGTAAATTTGCTCCCATTTGCACAAAAATAGTCAGATTTGCACAAAATTCTAATCCATTGTTCAGCTCCAGGGTCTAGGTCATTTGAAAGTTGAAATAGGCTCATTAGTGCCCCCTACAGACTATGTCAAAGTTTTACATGGGCCTAATAAAATGTATGTCTGCAGCAACTACAAACATTTAGAAAAAAATTTCAAACATTTAGTTTTTTCTAAATGTTTGACATTTTGCACATAATTGTTTTGTCATCTGGATTCAAAAAGTCAATGACAACATATGATTATTTTTTACCCTGTTGCCATGGCGACGACCAACACTCCCCTGTCTGTGTCTATGAGAAAATTGTTACATCTCTGAAAAGTACACCTCGCTCAAACATCAAACCAGCCGCGGCCGTTACACTAATTTGTCTGAAAATTGCTCCACATCGTCTCAACACATGGACCATCAATAGTTGAATATAGAATTTGAATTAATCAAACTGTCTGCGAGTTTTTTTTTAATGTTGTACAACAGCGCCCCCTACAATTTAATTTTTTTAGTGTTGTACCAAAGAACACCAAAATAATACAGTTTATGCCTGAAAAATACTTTTGGCAAAGTTTGGTGAGTTTTTGTGTTTGTTAAGTAGGTCAAATATGAGATCAAACAACAGAAAACCAAAGTACCTGTATCCCCATGTAAACCTTTACTCAGCCTGTAGGGGGCGCTAATGGGCCAATGTCATTGTTCACACTGTCATGTGACCTAGGCCCAGGAGTTGAACAATCGAATCAAGTTTAGTGCAAATAGGAGTTTGTGAATGTGCTCCTGTTATATATATATATATAATGATTTCGCCATAAACACAGACAGGGGAGTGTTGGTCGTCGCCATGGCAACAGGGTAAAAAATAATCATATGTTGTCATTGACTTTTTGAATCCAGATGACAAAACAGAATTATGTGCAAAATTTCAAAAAATTTTAACAAACTAAGTACGTAAAATGTTGAAAGCGTCTGTAGGGGGCGCTATTAGTGCAATATCATGTTTTAGACTTTTACTTTACCAAAACCCAAAATTTTGTGTCAATCGGACTTTGTATGTGCAAACTGTGGCTTTTACTTTGTAGAACAGCGCCCCTATAATTTTTTTGTTTTAGGCTATATCCACACGAAGACAAAACGCTTATAATTTCAGAAACTTTTTCTGTAAACACGGAGTTAGCTCAGTAAATGTGTGCGTCCATATGAATGTAGTCAATACGCCTGAAAACGCTGTGAAACTATGCCAGACCTGTTGGTGGCGCTGTGACGCAATGACGGGATCAAGCCCAAACTTCCGTGGGCATGCGCGGAATTTTGTAAACAGACAACATGGCGAGTGGGCGAGCTGGTACTACATTAGTATGGATGGACGATGAGGTTGAACTGTTGCTTCGGGTCACACTGGATTACAAAACCAACAAGCTACATTGTTGTTGTCATTATTTTCTGAGTGCGGCGCATGCGTGCTTTAACAAGAGGCGGGGCGATGACGCAAGCGTCTCAGATACATTGCGGAGAGGCAGTAACCACGGAGCAGCATATACGGAGTTTTGAAATCTTTCCACTCTGGGACCTACTTTCAAAAATGTTCGTTTACACCCCCCCAAAACGCCGGCCTCGTATGGACGATACACTGGATTGATAAAGTATTTTTGCGTTTAGGCCTGAGCTTGACTTCGTGTGGACAGGGCCTTAGTCTCATACCAATGAACACCAAAATAATGTATGTTATGTGAAAACAAAACTTGTGGCAAAATTTGGTAAGTTTTCATGCATGTTCAGGGGGTCAAATATGAGATCAAACAACAGAAAACCAAAATACCTGTATCCCCATGTAAACCTTTACTCAGCCTGTAGGGGGCGCTAATGGGCCAATGTCATTGTTCACACTGTCATGTGACCTAGCCCCAGGGGTTGAACAACCGAGTCAAGTTTAGTGCTAATCAGAGTTTGTAAATGTGCTCCTGTTTGTACATACAATTTGTGAGTGTGTCCATACAGTCTCCATTGGATAACATGGGAACTTCACACCCCTCTATGAAAATAACCACACTTTGGGAGTCTGTCACGCGCAGACTGTTTGACTAATTAAAATTCGATATTCAACTATTGATGGTCCATGTGTTGAGACCATGTGAAGCGATTTTCAGCCAAATTAGTGAAACGGCCGCGGCTGGTTTGATGTTTGAGCGAGGTGTACTTTTCAGAGATTTAATAATTTTCTCATAGACACAGACAGGGGAGTGTTGGTCATCGCCAGGGCAACAGGGTAAAAAATAATCATATGTTGTCATTGACTTTTTGAATCCAGATGACAAAACAGAATTATGTGCAAAATTTCAAACATTTTGACAAAACTAAAATTTAAAAAGCCCATGTAAAAC